TGGTAATGAGTTACAGAAGTGACCACCACATGGGGAAACGAAGGGGTTCTGAAAACAGAGCTTGAAATTGACCAAAGAGCACGCTTGATGTCAGAACAAATCCCTAATCACTGCCTCATCCACTGGGAGGTGGAGGTTAAAGATAAAGTTGAGTACTGGTAAAAAAAAGAAAATTATTTCTCACAGAATCAAACGAAACTTACACTGAATGTTCAAGATTACAAATAAATGACATGTGCCAAACAATTTTGGAAGAAAATGTGTACTGGCTGAGAAATGAGCATAGAAAGACAAGGAATCAAGGTAGTACCAACCCCGACACCGTGCGTGTTGTCCCATACATAGCTTTCTGTGTATGTGCTTGTTACTTTACCAAGACTCGGTCAAATTTATTATGATTTTGATGACTCCAGAACCTTGCAGTGCACACCAATACTTACATGCTACATGATCAACTGTTTCTGATCCTTTCCACACCTTTTCTTTCACAATGCAATCGCATTACCAGTACTAAACTTTATCTTTAATAGGCCTCCTTGTTTAGATTTGCTAGCTTTCCGTTGCTAGGCAACTTGAGCCTCCTGGGGCTAATAACTGGATTGCTGCATTTACACTGAAAGCACAAACCCTTGGTTTTTCATAACATTTTTGTGGAAGTTGCTTAACAACTACCAATAAACTTGATGAAAAACTCAACAACAAAAAATCACCTCTTTATTGAAGAAAAAAACAGCACAAACTTTTTTTTTTTAAATTGCAGTGTAAATGCTTGCTTCTCAAAACACCTGTGAATCATTCTGGTTTTCGGTCAAGGGACTCTCCTCGCTTTCATGCAAAATCATACAGGGCAGTGACAAGTGGTGTGCGCACAACTCACCAAATAACAGGATTATAAAACAGGTTTTTTTATAGATTTTTTCCGTTGTGTAAATGGCAGTGGAATCTTTTTTTGTTTCCAAAATATTTTTTGACTGTGTAAACAGCCTAATGTGGACCTGATGGGTAGAAGTGAAGGTTGTCTGCCAGAGAGGTCACTGATCTGCCCAATTTGGCCAGCTCCATCAAATACCTAAATTGACTGGAATTGACCCGCCTTTCCTTTATAGCATAAACAACAAATTCAATGGCATGATACACTTGCGAGTTGTGGAATGTGGATACAAAAGTGAATTTTCTGTGTGTTTGTGTGTACCTCTGACACATATTTCTGAAAACATCATATCTTCTAGTCAATATTAAGGCATTCATCAAAGTTGATGAGCATATTTGCAACCTTAAAGGGAATGCCTACTAACTTGTCCACCCTAATATTTAGTTTGTTTAAATAAAAGCAGAAAATGAGAGAAACAAATTAGTGAAAGTTTGAGCAATATTCAATTGAAAATAGGAAACTTACAAAATGTTGAAGTTGTCATCAGTGGAACACAAATTGGCAACACTGTGATGTATCTTGCGAGCTCCTCTCCAACTATTTCTGTACAGAAAATTTCATTATCATTCATTTCAAATCAAAACATTGATTATGGCAAATAAATCCATGTTCGTAGACTATTTGTATTATAAATAATAATATTCCGCTTTTATATAGCGTTTAGTACAAATGTCTCTAAGCGCTTTACAGATATACTGTTACCCCGGTCATTGGATTCAATACTTTCCAGCACACAATGTGTGCATAATCTCCACTCCCTGAGGAGCATTCCAACCAGGCATTACTTGACGCTCAAAAACTGTTTGACCAACAATGACAGTCGCTTCCTACCGGGTACCCGTTATGACATAGGGAGCCTACACAAACCACAAAGCTACCGAGATGCAGGCACAAGGATCCAGTATTTTGTAAAAGAGAGGGCACAGTATTTATAAAATCTTGCTGAGAAGCAAAATAGTAATGGTAAAAAGCTCTCAAAAGTAGGGCACATTTTTGAACTTGTGTACTACAGGTATGCCACTTAGTTTCAAGGGGGGGGGTGGGGCTAAACCTATTTCTTCCCCCCCCCCCCCATATCCACAAATGCAAAAATGAACAACGTGAGACCATGCAGTCACATACCGAGCCTGACAGAATGCAAACAGAAGTCATAAAGGAACTATGACTTGACAGGATCAAAATCATCGCTAATGTAAACACTGATTTGGTTGTTAAGTCAACAATGTTCCTTGACAATTTAGCCTCCATTCCAAGTTCATGGGGTTATAACTATTTTGTCTCACAGGTGATTTTTAAATTTCATGGAGTCTCCTCGATAGTTTGCTTATACAAGGCCATTAAAAAAAAATTATGAAAGAAAAAAAACACATGAAAAACACACTGCTAAAATGTTAAATTTCTGATTTTAATTTTTTTTTTTAAATGCCGGCGGCCGTCTTGAAAAGTAGCCTGACTGTCAGGGAAACTGTACCTAGCGGCCATTTTGAGAGGCCAATTTGAAGGAATAAAGAAGAAAAAAAGGGCCCCCTCCTCGCTATTTTTCAAAAAGGCAGGACGCAAAACATGTTTTTTAATATTTGGCCCAACCTGTCTGAACTGATTCCTCAGAAGGGCCAAACTGAAACAGCCACCAAAGTTTATCAGGGATGACCCTATATTCTGATAAGCCTGGGCCCAACATTACATCTGCTCCTAACTATAGGCCCTATGCAGAGTCACCTAAAATTCAATCCCAAACCAAGCCCTTACACTATATATTTGACAAAATCAAGCCCAGAGCAAATGTGTTCACTAGGCTTGCCTTCATCAGCTCGGTTAAGCCAAATAGCCTGCTATTTCTAAGTCAGGAAATTTGCCCGAACATGAAATAGCAGGTTATTTGGCAGATGAAGACACTATTAGAGGGCTATTTGCTCGAGAAATCTGCAATATCTTGGGCTAGTTAATTTGCAAAATAGCCCTCTATTTGTTCGGTCCATTTTCACCAGCCAGAAGGCTCGCACTATGCGCAAACACTGAGCAAATTTCTTGAAGTTGAGTCTATGAACTTCTTTTTAAATGGCTGACGCCTGGACAGCAATCCGCAAGAGCTCAAAAGTAAGACTAGACTACACTGTCTACAGGTGAATGTCTGACTAAAAACCAGTTCAGACTATATGAAATTTATACAAAACTTGTATAAAAAAACATTGGTTAAAGTATCATAGAATAACAAAAAGAGCGCACAGACTAGAAGACAACATGGTATTGATCTACATCTGCCACACTCAACCCAGGTGATATGTAAATGGGTACCTGGCAGGAATTAATTCTTTGAAATGCTGTGCACAACAGTGTAATGAGGTACCCGAGTACACTCCTATGCTTACAAGCGAATACTCGAGTATTCGGACGCCATGTTTTTTTTTGAATTTTTTTGAATTATTTTTGAATTTTTTTGAATTTTTTTTTTTTTTTTTGCCACCACCATACATACCACTGGAGCAGTATCCCAGTTCTGTCGCCGAAAACGCATGCAATTTACTTTGAGTTGCAGTTGAAGGCGCCGATTTAATAATAATAATAACAGTGAACAATGCTGTTTTAAAAACCAAGGATGGCAGAATAATCCATTTTCCTCCAAGTCCAAGCAGAAATCCAGACATTTGGTCCCAGTTTCTGAGTGGTGAGTTTGACAGTGCTTGAGTTGGGAAACATTTTTACCAACGGCACCACGCCAGCGGCCACCGCTCACCCAGGCACGGGTAAGCGTCGGCCTGGACATTTCAAACAAAAAACAAAAAACAATTTTTTTTTTTTTTTTTTTTTTTTTTTTTTTGCGGCCGAATATTCGGGTATGAGAAATTGTACCCGAGTAGTTGTCAACCATGCGGGTACTCGAGCATTCGACTACCCTTCACAGCCTTAATACAGTATGCAGTTTATTATACCTGGAGCGTTAGAGCACTACCAGTAGTAAAATGCCATCCTTCAGATTTCAATACCTCAAAGGTTTCAAGTGGTTCTAGAGGTATACATGTGGTAGATTTGTAATTCAACATACTGATACTATTTTGTGATGCTCACTGCTGCAGAAAAAAGACTGAGGAAAACAAGAGTCTCAGGGTTAACGTAAAAGCAGAAATTTACACCAAGAATCGTATTATTTTGTTTCCCTTGTGTGAACAGGTTCAAGGGCAGAAAGAGGTAAGCGATTAAAGTGAACTTTTGACCGTGACACAATGGCCCAGTGGTAGATACATCTTCCCATCCCTATTTAGGCTGTTTACGTGTATGCGTCTTTGACTAGGTTTTGTTTATATCTACGATGTTCCTATCTTGTTTAGTTCTGTCTTTGATAATAACAATATTAATAATTATGTTGAGTGTAATGTGATAATTTCTACAATATGTACAATATGGCTCTGTTTTGTTAGCATTTGTGTTTATATTCAGTATATCTCAATTTTGTTTTGTTTTGCTTTGTTTTCTTTTCTTCTTTTTTGTTTGTTTTTATAATGATAATCTTTCCATGTCTACATAAGGACGTGAAGAAATCAATTTAAATATGAATTAGTATATTCAGTTCATCAGTAAGCACTAAATCAAGGGCAGGGGCTGCAACCAGTGCCCTTAAACATAAAATCAACTCACTCGCAACAAATATATTGTACCTCAAATCTGGCTACCATTATACCACGCATTGTCTCTATATGACATAAACTTGATTATACTTTGTGTAAAGCTACAAAAGATTAGTTTATCATCATATTCAAATATACTTTTGGAACAAAGATTTTTCTTGACAACTTGAAAGCTTGCCCAAGACTTGCCCAACATAGCAACAAGTAATATATGCAGACCGGAGTATTGTAGTTCATACATTAATAACAGGTCAATGTAATACCTTTTCACTAGGTTCCTAGGAAAGAAACATCCATAAATGTAAGTTAACCTCTATTGACTAAAGGAGATATAATTGATATTCGGGGAGATATAATCCATCATGATTCTTTATCTTCCAGGGCCCAAGAAAATCTTGTTTCGATATCACAAGAGGGTTCTTTGATTGATAATTTTGTTTACTTACCAATATGGTTACTGTGAGTATCTTTAAGCCTTGTATTATTCCAGTAGGATTTGGACTTCAGTGATTCCTCTGTTACTTCTTTTTAATCCTTTTAGAATCTGTAAGATAGAATTGAGCAATAAAATGTTATCTCTTCATTAGGTCATTTACACAGCCCACCAATTACAATTTTATAGTGGGGAAAAAAAAAACATAGCAAGGAAAGAGAAAGTGAACAAGAGAAGGGGGAAATATAAGGAAAGAAGAAGCCCATACCACCTCCTGCACCCTTCCCTTAACCAGTAGCCTTGTAAATTTGTATAGCATTTTCCAAGTAATGCCACCCCCCTTCCAATATTAAATAACACCCAAACCCTTTTATATTTTCTCTTTATCAATTCATATAAAAATGCAGTTGTTTGTATTCTGAATTCTCCCCTCAATTTTTTTTGGGCTTTGTGTCAGCTTCTATTGGTCCACACAAAACCTCAAAATGATTCATTGCAGAACTAAAGTGAATGCAGGCAATTAAAAGATCAAATATTTCAATTTTCTTTTGATTGGCGTTGGTCAGCTTGTTGATGCAAGTGGTACTGTCCCTCAACACCCCCCCCCCCCCATTCACTTATCTTTATTCACATTTGTAAAGTCAACAACATATTTCAATCTTTACATGGTTGAAATTAGCTGTGATGAATGAGAAAAATTCAATAATCAAATATATTCAGAAACACAAAATTGACCGTTTCCAGATTCTTGCAACCAATAGCCGGATTGATCTTAAAAAAGGGGGTTTCCCATGGCATAGGGTACACCTCTAACAAAGCTCCGTTTACACTGCATGCAACAAACATCACTTTCCTGTGTTGTGTCGCAAGTTGCTAAGCAACTACCAGCAAACACAATAACTAAAAATCCACCTCTAGGGAAAAACACTGTTAGAAATTTCACTGATTTTCACAGTGCAAATTAATGCCCACTCTTGAATGATTGTGTTTTGTTATCATGCGACTCTCCTCCTTTCCTAGACCGAAAGCTTCAGTCTCTATACTGTCGGTTGTTCCACTGAGACTACGTCTGGCTCCACTAGACCTCCGGTTATAGAGACTGAACGATCGCCTATGCCAGCCTATGTTGAAGATATCACGGCTAGATTTTAGCCGTTAGGCCCCTCCCACAAACATGAACAAACTTGCCACGGCCGTATTGTTATGCCCCCAAAATCCCCCAAAATGTCATTTTACCTCGTGCATATCCAATTTTACATTAGGCCTAGGCTATAATACATCGGTTCCACTTACTAACTTGATTGAAATAATCCGTTTAATGGTCCCTTTTAAGGAAATTATGGGTCAAAATCGACATCCATGTTGAAAATCTTGCAAGCCGTGTTAAACTCTCGCTGCCGTCAATCTCATCCCTTCTAGTCTACGCCGAAGGCAAAATGATTATGAAGGAAAAACTGTGCGCCATCTACACGTTCGTAATGGCGTTATCACATGTAAAATTGGATATGCACGAGGTAAAATGACATTTTGGGGGATTTTGGGGGCATAACAATACGGCCGTGGCAAGTTTGTTCATGTTTGTGGGAGGGGCCTAACGGCTAAAATCTAGCCGTGATATCTTCAACATAGGCTGGCATAGGCGATCGTTCAGTCTCTATAACCGGAGGTCTAGTGGAGCCAGACGTAGTCTCAGTGGAACAACCGACGGTATAGAGACTGAAGCTTTCGGTCTACTCCTTTCCATGCCGTCTCATGCGGAGCAGCATCAAGTCGCACATGTGCAATACCGGTACTCACCCCAAAATTGAAAGGAGCAAACATTGGCAGTATTTTATGGGTTTTACCTGTGGTAGAAATGGCAGTCCCCAAAATCCATGATTTTTCAATATAGTGTATGGGCTGTGTAAATGGGCCTATTGTTGGGCCGTCCCCCCGACGTATTTGCAGGATATATTTGTGTAGGCTTATAAATCCTAGAAATCAGTAATAACGGTCAAATAAATCCGCAGGGTAACAGAGAGACTTGTATAACTTGGGTAAATAAGTGAGGACTAAACTTGACGTAGAAGAATGCAAAAATGGAAAATATTATTCTTGAAGTTCTCCTAACTTGAACTTTGGTCACTTATTTCAGATATCAAATTTCATTACACAGAATAAAAGATCAAGTCTTTAGAATTATGAATAATACTCATTCATCTAGTCATAAATCTCTCTGAAAATTCTTCTAGACAGAAATGTAATGAATTGGGTTTTTTAATAGAAATTTGCCTCTTGCCTCTTTGCCTCGTTTTTAATTATCAGAGTGCACAAAATGTATGACTCAGGTGGGTCTTTCCTGTTTAGAGTACTTATAATTAACATCATACATTTTGAGAAGTGCACTATAAAGAAAAGGAGGCGCTTAAGAGAAAAACATAAATAAGTGATATTTTTTAACACACAAACGGGAGAGTTGTCTGTGAATATGTCATAACCCATTGACAAATTGTCAGTTTCAGAATTGCATAGATTTATTGATGTCATATTTTAAACATTCCTAACTCTCTTATTATTTTTCTCTTCTATTTCTCACATGTTCTGTCTTCATACAAATGAATTTATTACAAAGGTTGTATTGCCCTTTTATATTCGAGTAACTCTTAGGTCAGTTATTTGAAGCAAAACGTGTAAAAACAATTGATAGGAGTTCAAAAAAGACGTGCAAATGGATTCCAATGGCATTCCAATGAATTTCAATTCTGTCTTATCCTTCTGGTCCTATTACTATGAATAGCATCCTACATCAAAGGATAACATGAACAAATATTTATTTTTAATTTTTACTTTTTATTTTTTTAATTTTATTTCAAACACACCAATAACAATCTGAGCATGCAGCTCGTCTCAAAGGACTAATAGTACTAGTATCAAGCCATCAGTCAAAAGATAACCAACAGAAAAATGACTGAATGCTCAACATGTTTTAACACTTCATCTGTAATTTAGAATACCAATTGTTTCCTAGACAGGCCCATAAATCTATTGTTTTGGCACTACTGAATCAGTACTGATAGCTTTCTTTATTTGATCATACAAATCTTTATGATACAGGTAATTGGGCTCGAGACCTTGTACACAGCAAATGGCTTGCTGGGAGCGCCGCACATATGTAACATCTATAAAGTCATCCCAGACCCAGGTCATATTTACCTGATGCTCCAGTCATTTGATGGATCCATGCTGGGATTACCAATTAAATCTAAAGCGAAACAACGCTGATGAAACAAACAAAAAACTTGAGGAAATCCTCTGCTTGATGACTGATGTCCTTATCAAGCTTGCAGAGTTAATAGAATACAAAAGAACAATGCAATGTGTCCAGTACCTACGTACGACTGAACAATCGTACGTGCGGGCAAAGAAAAAAAATCAATGTTATCACTTCATCAATTGTATGACGATACACCTTGAAGGGTGATTGATTTTTAGAACTGAATGTAACTTTCCTGCTTCAAGGCTGGATACACACAATCATGACAAAGGTTTATTTCTACTGCACGTGTCTAGGACCACCCTTAATTGAGTGGCACAGTGACAAGGCGTTAAATACAGGACATCCTCATCCCTCCAAAATGTTCCATTAACATTTATTTATGTAACAAAAGAGAGGAAAATACAATAATGTGGCTGCCACTTAATACAACACTTAATACAACTCTGTTGCATAAGTTTAGATATTGTGGCTAGAACACGTGACTGTCAATGTTAAGTTCATAAGTTTGAACCCTGACATAGCACTCAAGTCCTCTGGCAACACATGATTCTGCATTTGCTACTCATGGGTCTTGCTAGCGTCTCTAGGTGTACTAAGGGGAAAGCTGGTATGTTTTGCATCTCAGCGTATACGTCTAGGTGCTGATATGTAATGGCTGCCATATCCAACGAAGACAAGACAAGTTTTGGAATTTATATGCACTATGCAAAAATATGTATCAAAATTTAAAATAAAATAAAACAAGTGGACAGTGTTCAAAAGTTTTCAGTACAAAACAACAACAAAACTACTTCAGTCCAATGCAAAAGAAAGCGTAACAGTAAGCAGACGCTTTTTTCTGAGTATTTAGGAATGCTAAAATATAAAAAAAAGTACCATAGCACTTGCAAAATTTCCAAATGTGAAGAGAAACATAAAATACATAGACTCATAAAATAGATATATCACAGTATGGTCCTGAGGGAAATAGTATCTTTTGCATTGTAGGCCAATTTAAACTCATTCTATTCAATTCAAATTGAACTGGAAAAAAGGAGGAATTTAAAAATCACTTTATACAATTTCACATCTAGTTGGCACCGAGATATAGTCATTGGCTTGATAATCTCACAACTATCCATGGGCTGCTATTAAAACGCTTTAGACGCTGTGCTTTTGAAAGCATAACTTGAATAGAGTGCATCAATAGTGTAAACATGGGCATAATGTGAAATGCCCATGGCTGGTAAATGAACTGTGACAGATGCCCTGGTCAAATGGGTTTGTTCACACACTTGAGTAAATCTCATAAATTTGGGGAGATTTGTTTTGTGAGGCGATATTCAGCACACCTTCCCAGTTGGAAAGTACTATTATTTCAATGGGACAGTCTGTTTTAAGAGGCACAACTGGTAGCATTGATGATTATTAATTTGCTTACCTTGTAGTCAACAAACTTGAGAAGAGCATCATAAATAATTACAGACCTTCAAGTCTTTATTCCTGTCTGTAAGATGGCAAGAATATTACCTTGTAGCAATGGACTCATGGAGTACAAACTTCTTTTATAGGAAAACTACTAATAAAATGTCTCTGCTTGAACTACAACCAGTCCCATTTCAAGTAACTAACCATGCATGTACAGAACTACAGTACTAGAGTTTCTGATAAGCCAATGATATATAATTAGTTTACACACACATTCATGGTTGTTATTAGGCCATACTAGGAAGCAGGGTAAACTTACCCTTTCACCTTGACCACCGCTTCCACTAAACAAATGTAAGGTCACATATATATATCCTAAATCCTGGGCCAGGATGTGAATAGGCTATTTTCGTAATGTAACCAAACTTTACTGAAGTGCCTGATACAAATTATTTCATTCAACTGTTAAGAATAATCTCAATATAGATTGCAAATTGCATATATCATGTGTTGTTGGGTAAGACAAGCACTAATGTTATCCTACCTCGTGAAAATTAATGTTGCAATGTGTATTCTGACTATTGAGATACAAATATTCTGATCAGTGGAATGAAATAATTTATATTGAGGCATCTCACAAAGACATATGCATAAATTTGGTGACAAATGAAACATTAGCCATGTTTTTGTGATCAGTATGCATGGAACTATCCAAGCAGTCATGTAGGATGCTCCAAAATATGCTCATGAAACAATTTCTTTTGCTGGCAATATTTTATCAAGAGAAGTCAAGAAGTAAATGCCCAGTTTATTAATATATTCTTATGTATACATGTTCCTCTCTGGAGCTACAAACTATTTGGTTCACCTGCTATTCAAAATGGCATCTAACGTATGCATACAATTAGTAAAACCATCTATTGAGTTTTAGGTTAGGTTTAGTATAACTAGGATTTGGGTTACATATAGTGTTTGGTCCAGTGTCAAAGTTAAGAATACGGTTAGTAGATATTGCCCTCTCAACAAGTGTCACTAAGGCATGTGCCGTAGTACAGCACCAGTGTGAGGACACTAGATGTGTTCATTTTTTATATTTACACTAAATTCATATCAGATAATAAAAGGGACATCAAAATACCTTCTGTTACAACCACCTGCATGTTTAGAAACACCACCAGCCTATAAATCACATTTCTGTTTCCCTTTAATATAGTTTATCACTGAAAAAAACAACCACTTGTCTAAACAACTTTTACAGACCAGTTTTCTTGTCTTCTCTGAGTGGTCTTTATTATATGTATCACTTATTCACCGTATCTTTCACATCAGAATATCTCCTAGATGGATCTTTTGACATGATAGGAAACAATCATCAAACTATTTCATTCTAATTTCCTCGTTGCTCTCAAGCCTTCCACTACTGAATATTATCTTCAAAATCTGCACACAAAGTTTGAGGGGTCTAAATACATCACTGCTCTTCTAATAAAAATTGTAATAGATCGATAAATGGAATATTAGGATTGTGATTTGATTTGAATGTAACGAGCAGGGTAATAATCATTACACTAATGGGCTGTGGAATTCCATCCATCTATCCATGCCCCCAAGGAGATCCTGACAGTGCTACAAGGATGATAACATGCCTTAAGGTGTGTTCATGCAACATTTTTTCACCCTAGAAACACGGTTTTCAAAGACGTTTAGTTTAAAACATGGTTGCGTTTCAAGCAATTTTCCGTCGGTCGTAAAAGTAAACGTGTTTAAAAACACAAACATGAAACGCTAAAAAAAAAGATGTATTTTATATGCTAAAAACCGCTTGAACGAATCATGATTCTATAACGCCATTATCGTGGCCTGCTTCCGGTTTGGCCGACAGTCTACCGTAACGAAATTTAGAAAGCATGCAGCAAAGTTGACCTATGCTTCCTGGGTCAAACTGCACAGCGTGATGAGCAGTGGCTATATAGGCTTGAAATGAGCGAGAATCAGCGTTGATGAAAAAACGCTCAAACGCTCTCCCGCAGTAACCATGTTTTTTAACAGCGTTTTGAATTATGATTCTAGCTTCAAAAAATTGCTTGAACGCACCCTTATATTACTGGTATTTCTTACATGTCCTTGGCAGAGCTAAGTCCTCATGGAGCCAGGTATTACCGGTATTATGAGGCATAAGCATGATAAGCGGTCATTACGCTAGAATTGTAATACTCCAAACGGATATCATTGAGGTTTTATTGCTTTCAAATGTACTATAAAAAACTTTTCAAGTGGAATGAAAGAGGGTCAGGCTTTCGCAGAATTCTACATATGAATAAAGAATGGCAAGATTTTCAGTGGCACCTTGGTTACTCGGCAACAAAATAAATACGATATATAGCTGATTGTATTAGGAGTCCTAGATTTTGCAGTAGAATGAAACTTTCATAATTCATTTATTATAATATATATATATATATACACTATTAGTTAAGCATTTTAATCTTAACTCCTAACGCTGCATGCACACAATTTCTGGTCTAGGGATCCAGTCCCCGTCTGAAATGTCCAAGTCAAACCCAGATTCTGCAATGACTATAATGTGAATGTAATCACAATTTAATGAAAATAATCACCATAAAAAGTACCTTAGTACCTTAACTCTTTATTCACCACAGATCAAAACACTGGACAGCTTAAGCTCTATACTCGGTGTAAAGTATACCAGTTAACAACCTTTTTGCTCCAAACAGACAATATTGTACATGTGACGAAAGTCGACTGTGGCAATCCTGTATGTCTGTTCCAGAGCCGAGGTCAACCATGCAAGGCCTGTGAAGGGTTCCAGAAATCAACAGATTTAATGAATTTAAAAGCTCTTCACAAACAGGCACCATTTTCTTGATGATGACACTTGATAGTAGTACAATATATCCCTCTTCATCAAAATAACATAATCTATGCATTGCACAACCTAACTATTTCTGATGAAGAGAAATGGCCTTTGCATGTTTGTGGACATAAAGCACTTTGGTGAAAATTAGCTCCAAATCCTAGCAACAGAGAAAGGGGCCGAAGAAGAAAACTTTACAAAGACTAACCCTGTTCGACATTGAAAAACCGTACATATCAACATACAAAAGAGAGTGTCCCAATAGTTTGATTACTTATAGGCTGCATGTAGGCCTACAGCCTTCTTTACATTCATGACATTTGAGACATTGCCTTTCCTTGATAACAAATATAGAATCATTAGAATATTACTTTACCAAAAAAGTATAATTGTGCACCAAGCGGTGTGGTGTCCGTTACAAACCTTGAAATGAACTCCAGGAGTTGTCCAAAGTCTGTTCACTTCCAAAACTCGACCACTGATACTCAACTGAAATGTACATACAGTACACACCACCACCAGAGCAAACTTTACCACATGCAAAATGTAGTCCAAGTCTCAATGTACAAGAAAGAAAGTCTGAGCGACTTGCCAGCCAAGCCAGCGAACATGCGTGCACACAGATGAATAGTTGTACAGTCGAATGTGAAATAACTCCCTGGTAGTGGCAGTGACAATACCTGTATGTTCTAATAATGGATTCTTTTCAAGCTAGCACCGCAGCAGCAGCCTGTCTGTGTACTGCACTCTGTGTACCTTTGGAATCACTAAAGAGACAGACAGGGAGAGAAAGAGATATATAGAGAGACAGACAGAGAGACAAACAGGGAGAGAGAGAGAGAGATAGAGACAGGTAGAGAGGGAGAGAGAATGAGACAGATATGATGAGCGAGCAAAGAGTATAAAAGTTTGCAAACAATGAATTTTGTTTCACCTCCTTCCTGGGCGACTGGCCGTCTCCTAACGCCCAGCAGGTGCAACAATCCTGAGTAAAACTGAGAATCCTTGAGATAATAAGTCAGAAGAAGAAAATAGCTCTAAAGCTAACACTTGAGAGGTCATTGGAGTTAGAATCAATCCCTAAAGTGTAGAGGAGCAAGCGAGAGCGAGGAGCAGACAGTTTGCTTCTTTCCTTTCAGCTTGGATGAAATGTTGCTTTGTAGTCGGGTGTGAAACGCTACTTCAGGACTGAAAGCAAAGTTTCTAAAGTCACTGTGAAGTGTTGGGATCAGCTCGCAGAAAGGCACTGAATGAGAGAGGGAATAACCCCACCTGGGTTAATCGTAAAGGCATGTAGAGACCTAGTCTGCAGGCACAGACCCTTGTCACTCGCTGTCCGTAACAGTGTCTGCACTGTGAGACTATGTTGACAGCATACTTCATAGGCTCTATACTTAAGATGCTTCAGACACAGCTAGAGACTAACAGAGCTAGGCTCTGCTCAAGGCTTTAGGAATTGTGGTAAAGTGTCAAATTAGGGTCTGTGTCTGCAGACTAGTAGAGACCCTGGATCTGATGCTTTTGAGTGGTAATGCTTAGCTTGGTGGATATTGAGACTTATTCAGGCATGAACGAGGGAGGGGGGGTATGGATCACTTTTTTTTTAGTTCAAGGGGGGGGGGTAGTTACCATCATAAAATTTAAAATTATCTACAAAAAGTGCAACTTGGCAAAGAAACAACCAAGATGACTTTTGCTTTTCTTTGTAATGATAAACAACAAATGTTCACATCTACAGTAAAATAGACCAGTTGCTTCAGATTGGTTCTTGGCATTGTTTCACAAAAGAGTCATGAGGACAAGTTCACTGACATCATGTTGACATACATGTTGATTTCAATACACACATTTCAATTGGATGTCGGTGAATCTGAATTTGGACTTCATGAAACAATGCCCTAATCTCCACTATTCTGGTAATGAGCAAAGAAATAAAAGGTTATGCCTATTCTGTAGCTTGTTTCTGAGAGTCCATACTACGTACATGACTTAATTTACTTTGTGACATGAAAACTTGCTGAAAAGGAGTAAGACTAATGAATATTGTTTTATTCTCTACATTCATTCATTAGACCCCTTCCTGTGTGGGTGAAGATATAGTCATTAGGAGTAGTACATAGAGGTTTGAGTCTGGGCTCACACAGATCAACACATCTCCTCTAGGATCGATGCTCTCTATATTTATGAACAGAAATGTAACTGCATTGAACAAAACCAAGGAAAGAAATATAAACAGCAGATATGCTGAGCTCAAGCTCCTGTAAGGTAGACTTTGACCCTCTGACTTGACCCTCTGACTCGGTGGATATGAAAGGGGTTGTTGAAGCTCCTGTAAGGTAGACTCGACCCTCCGACTTGACCCTCGGACTTGGTGGATATGAAAGAAGTTGTTGAAGCTCCCATAAGGTAGACTCGACCCTCTGACTCGGTGGGTATGAAAGGGGTTGTTGACGTTACCGTATGTTTGCATGAGATATGTGTGACATCATGTGATGTCATGTGAAGTCAGAGCAGGGACTGGGGTGGTAAAGCACTTTGTCAGGTAATTAACAGGAATTTGAAGCATTGCTTGATGTAAGTTGTCTGAATAGATGGAAGGATGGAAGGGGGAGAGAGAGAGAGAGAGAGAGAGAGAGAAGTAGCCTTGTCAGGTGCAATGTATAGAAGCCATGCTAACTAACTTGCATCTAGAGGACAGAAAGATAACACGGAGGAAAGGGACAGCGGGCTGAAAATGGAAGATGAAAGTGAGGAAAGGAGGGGCAAGCGAATAATAGAAGAATAGGAGATTTAAGTTTAAGGGAAAAGGAAGTGGAGCAGTAAAAATAATGGGTGAAGAGAGAGATGGAAAAAGGTAAGAAAGAGAAGAGCAAGGGGGTAAATTAGAGGAGAGCAAGGGGGTAAATAGGGAAGGGGGAGGGGAAAATGGAATGGGAAGGGAAGAGGGAGGGAAGGCAGGAAAGAAGGGGAGGGGAGATGGAAAGTATAATATGAAGTACTTCACTAACTGTAAGGGTAACAGAGAGCCAAAGAGTTTAGAGCCAAAACAAAATAATCAGTCAATAATACTTATATGCACTAAAAGTGAAATTCAATAGTGATTATAAACTTGCTGCTTGGTGGGAAATTTTTGTTTACCAAAAAAAAGAGGGGGGGAAATTTTGATGATAATTCTAAGATAATTCCTTGATTATCTCAAATCTCATTAATAGGTCATTTTCATATTGTAACCAAATTTGATTTACTTCAAGTGCCTTGATACAAAGGATTTCATTCACCTGTTAAAGGTAAAGACCAGTATTGGAAACGCCCCAATTTCAAAAAAAAGAAATGGAAGCTCTTATTACCAATCATGTGAAAGAATATGCTTTGAATATTACATGATGATAAAAATTACGACGGGAACCCGCCTACTAATTGATATATTTGGTAAATTAGTGTATCTCTCCCCTGTTGAGAGATATGAAATGCACGTGTCGCGCACCTGTGTGTAGTCCCATATACATCTTTCTGTGTACAGTGCTTCTAACTTTATGAAGACTTGGCCAAATTTTTCTTATCATTTTGGTGATTCCAGAACCTTGCAGTACATCTATGTTAGATGATCAAACTTTTCTGATCGATTTCACGTTTCTTTCACAATACAATCGCATGACCATAACTGGTCGTTAGCTTTAAGAGTAATTGCATATGTTGTTAGGTATGGCAAGCCATAATGTTTGTCCTACCTAGGAACAACTAAAGTATGCTTTTTTTAATATTTTGACTATTTAAATACATTTTGTTCCATAACGGGTGAATGAAATAATGTGTATGAAGCACTTCACAAAGGAATATTTGAACAAATTTGGTTACATTAGAAAGTGACCTATTGATCTTTAGGTGAACTTATCTCCAGTCATTCTATTCCCTCTTTTGCCTTGATATGCCCATGGACTGGACTTGTCTGGGAAAACATTTAGATGGGTAAGAGGCCAGGCCTCCATAAGGTAGAGTGTGAAAGATATGGTTGATTTGACATACCCCTGATGCTGTTTGCTTGTTCATCTGATGACAAATGTACTTATAAACATGATAGAGATGTGAGAGATTGGTTTCAAGGTAACGCAAACACCATCACAACGACTTTAGACAAATCAACTGAAGGACATTTATTCAACTGAAATCATGTTCCCATTATTTAATACAGCATTGTAATGTTCAAACATTTCTAATGGCAGACAAGACTAATAAAATTGCCTTAAGTTGATATGTTTTTATAGCAGTCGATCTAATCATGATTACAGCATTAAAAATAGCCAAATAGGTCCAAAAATATATTTTCTAAATTTTCTAATTTGTGCTATGAAAGTTGGACTCAATACATCCCCACCCTGCCCCCCCCCCCCCCCCCCCCCCCCGAAAGGGGGAAAACTTTGGCTCTGGAATACCTGTGGTTAGGAAAATCATACAATTTAGAGGCGATTAAAAGTTATCAGTCATTGATGAAATTGCCATAGATCATTATACTCCGCAATAGGCCATTTTTGTAATATAACTAAATCTATAACTTAAGTGCCTCAATCTTAGCCTCAATAGAAATTATTCCTTTCACCCATAACAAATAATTGTATCTCAATAGTCAGAAATATGTGCATGCAATAATGTTTGTCCTACCTAGCAACAACTTATATATGCATTTTGAATTCTGACTATTGAAATACATTTATTCGTATTACAGGTGAATAAAATAATTTGTATGCATGAGGTGCATATCACAAAGGGATATGCATATATTTGATTACATTACATAGGTATACTTCCCACATGAAATGGTTAATATAAATTCAAATTCTGAATGGGGCCAAGATAATTTTACCAATGTTTTGTACCTACCTGTTAACCATTTTAATAGTTACAATAGTTTGTTGATGATTTCAAATATATTCTTATGACATCTATTTTGCGTGTTAATGTGTGTGAATTGCCCTTTAACATATTTCCCACAGTATTTCTTTTTTTGTGAAAAAGGAATAATATCCAACAATTTTCCTTCTCATGTATTATAGAAATGAAAGTATTTTCAAGGAAACAATATACCTCAGATTCCATGATTGTTTTCTAAACTAACAAAATGGATTACTGAGCATTACCTCCAGACAGGTGTGTAGATCACAATCCAATTGAATTAGATGTTTGAACAGAGATCAAAATTAAATAATACCATGTTTAAACTTCCTAAATTGAAAGACAAACAGCAAGAGGTGAACGCAAACGTCATAAATGACAATAGTCTTCTATTGAGACAAGCTAAATGTAGGTTACTTTAGTCTGCCTTCAAGGCCAAAATCATTGTGTTCATTCTTCAAACTAAACCAAACATTAACAAAGTTGTATCGCACATCAATGAATGTCACTTGGCTGACTCTTGGAGTTTTCTTTCTCTGTCTCTCCATCTTTTGTCTCTTATGCTGTTAGCCTGCCTTGTAGGTGGAATTGGTCTTCCCTGATGCACATAAACAATGTTTCCCCCAGTCTGGAGTTCTTAGACTAGAAGAATAACATTAGAATATACACACATGTACTACAGACTATGACCCCGTTCTCACTCACCTACTGGACTGGTCTACATTAGAAGTGAGTGTGTGTTCGCAGGGAATAATTTTCCTCAAATTTTTTGATTAGCAATTTCAGCCGATAGATAAATATTTCAAATGAAATTCTGTACATTTCTATGGAAGAAAACTGCTACACAAAAGATATTTTGT